TACTAGCTTTTACCCGCGGCTTCGCTCGCGTCACAAAAGGATAAAAAGCCAATGTGACATATACCAATACACACAGCGCCATCTATACCAATACTTTTGTTTTCCCTCGGGAATATCAATTTTTTCCGGGTAAAAAGTACCCTATTATTTAATCCGGACTTCTAACTATACATCTGCAAAAATTCAAAGCAATCGGTTTAGTAGTTATGGCGTGAAAGCGGAACAAACAAACAAACTCACTTTCCGATTTATAATATTAGTAAGGATGATGATGATTTAATACAAAACAATTCGACGAAATTTGGGACTCTTGTTACCTTTTTTAGATAAACGTGCAGACGGATCACCTGATGGTAAGCAATCGGCGTCGCCCATGGACACCCGGAACACTAGAGGTGTTAGTGTGCCAGAAGCGCGTTACAGGTCTTTTGGGGTTAGGTATTTGAGGATTGTTGGGGGCTCAGGGATTGGGGAGATTGGGGAAGGGGAGGGTAATTGGGCCTCCGGAAACCTCACTCACACTACGAAACAATTACCGGAGGCCCAATTACCCCCCCCCCTACCCCAATCTCCCCAATTCCTGAATCCCCTACGATCCTCAAACTACTAATCCCTAAAAGGCCAGTAACGCACTTGTACGCCTTAACTTAATGCCTCTGGTGTTCCAGGTGTCCATGGGCGACGCCAATTGCTTACCATCAGGGGACCCGTCTGCTCGTGCTCCATAAAAAAAGAAAAAACAATTGTGTTTTGAGTCACTAAGTCAAATACCTTGCTGGTAATTATATCTTAGAGCCGTTTGGGGTTGAGACGTTAGGTCCGTATATTAATCTTTTAACATTTTACAGAACCCCACCTTAAATGCTACGATGATAATTTAAACCACAATCTACCGATCGCACCATCGTACAATTTCGTCAGTTCATTGACAAATCGTTGGTCAATATTAAGCGTCAAATTTCCCCAAAACCAATAGGTTATGTAACTGACTACATAATACCACTTATAATAGCTCTTTTGACCGAGTAGGTGATGTTTGATCGGACTAGGGTAGGGTAGACTACAGACAACTTAACATAGGTTACCGGGGCTCCGGCTCTATGCAGGAGTAGGAACGGGGTGGTTTTTAGTCAGTAAGAGTCCGACACTCTCTCGCCTTGTGAGGAAACCTAGGCTTTTAATTTCTAATTATAAGTTTGAAACCGCAAACCCGCATTGAGCAGGCGTGGTGATTAATGCTCAAACCTTCTCCGTGTGAGAAGAGGCCTTTGCTCAGCAGTAGCCACTTAACATAACATAACATCACGCCTTTTATACCCTAAGGAGTAGGCAGAGGTGCACATTACAGAACTAAATGCTACTGTACAATGTAACACCCACTTTTTACTATTTATGTTATGAATGAATCTCATGTAATTCAGACTAAAGTTAGTTTTTACATGCATAAGAGTACAATAGCTTATCTTTTAAGCAACCTCTAGCAGACAATAATACAAATATACACTTTATTTATTTAGTGTTAAGATGCTTTTTGCAAAAAATATAAGGGGTTTGATTATTTACTTACAAACGAATACTTTTTATATGGAAAAACCACAGATACTTCACTGTATTGTCGTGTAAGGAACAACGGCATAACGAGCTAATCTATTCCATGGGAGTTTCAACTTTAAAGTTTTGGGAATGAGGTTGATAATCCAATAAAGTTTGTTGATACTGCAGGGTATTTTGATGGGTTGGTGACTGCATACACTTACGTTTTTATATGTTACATAGACCATTATAATGTCTAGATTCTTCTAGTGTTACAGACGAAGCTACCTAAGGATTTTTAAGGGGGCAAATCATCCAATGACTTCTCCCACCTTGGGTTAGGCGGGAGGGAGTGTCAGACTCTTACTGACTACATTCCACCCCGTTCCTACTTCTGCATAGAGTGGAGCCCTTGTAACAAGTTACATGGAATCAATGGGCCTAAGCGTGCTACTTACCCCTGTGTAACATGATGTCTTCCTATCTATTTATATTATTTATATTTTTATTTCTATATACATATACAAGGTGTTGTTTTAATGCCGCGTCATTTTCTAGGAGGTAACTCGACTATCGATTCTGAGTCCGAAATAATAAATAAATGTAGGTATATATTTTTCATTTTTCTGTAAATTACGGAAATCCGTAAGTGCGAACAACACGCCGCGCCGCCGTCTTGTAACTAGCTTTATAACGCGGCTCAACAGACACAAACTCAAACACGTAATTGATATTATTCCTAATTCCATAAAACTCCAATAAGAAACATTGCTGTCGCTTATTCTGAAATACTGTCGAACTGAAACGATTTGTTATAGCCGTATTTTTAACTATTGACCCGAAACTTTCTCTTACATTGAACCTTTATGACTTCTGTGACATGCCCCCGGGAAATGTCATGGTTTCAAAACTACACCTTGTATAGTATGTATAATAAAATCGTAGAAAAGTCAACACTGTACATTAAATATTTTTTAAAAGAATACTTGGGGCGTGGTCTACAGTCAATACGGAAGCCAAAAATATGGTTTTTAGAATTTTTGTCTGTTTGTCTGTATGTATGTCCGGGATCATCTCAAAAAGTACTGCATAGATTTAATTCAAATTTTGTATGATTATTACTAACGGTAATAGGTCGGGTCAATATATACGCTACATATTAGCATGTAAATTACTATTTCACGCAAAAGAAATTGCGGGCACAGCTGGTTCTTGAAATCAAAGGTCGTATTCTAATACTAACCTATTCCTTCTGTTACAGAGAAGACATGGAGAAGGTGAACATAAAGTTTCATGAGAATGACACAGTGACATACCAACATAACAAGATTCTGCGCTTTGTTCCTGAGATGTCAGTCGATAAGAATCAAAAACTAGTTGTACCTAACATCCCATTGCTGGTAAGTGTATTTCAATTAATGGCATAAGCCGGTAAACGAACAGACGGATCACCTGATGGTAAGCAATCGGGGTCGCCCATGGACAGACGGAACACCAGAGGCGTTACAAGTACGCTACCAGCCTTTTGGGGATCAGGAATTTGAGGATTGTTGGGAATTGATAAGATTGCAAACATTTCTACTTACCTCTTTATTGGATATTTGCGAGACGGTGGCGACGCGTAGCGTTCACAACATTTGCGGAAGCTGTCAAATAATAACAATGTAAACATTATAATTTTCTTTACAAATATAAATAAAACTAAAGATTATAATATAGTATTATTGACATTATTTAAGTGCAATTTATTAAATAGTTTTATTGTAAAATGAATATAATAATAAAAACCGGGTTTGCATCATCCGCATTTGTTTCCAATTTCTGCCGTGTTGAGCGCTGCGGTCGTTATCTGTCCGCCACTACTCGCTTTGTACATAGCCAATAGAGCAAAAGAACTAATTTTGACTTGTTCTTCTCGATTCTAGACAGTGACCTCCTTCTCCCCGAACCTTGGAAGCTGGGTGTTCAACCTGCTAGTTTCTGGCCTGGCCATCACGTACCGAGATAGAGCCAAACCATTCGTTCATGTTACTGCTGAGGAACTGGTCTTTGGGTAAGTGCCTATCTTTACATATTATAAAAAAAAGTCCGTTTGGCGTCTTCCATAACATAATACATCACGCCTTTTATCATCGAAGGGGATAGACAGAAAAAGGAGAGACAATGTAACAGCCACTTTTAACTGTTTATGTTACGAGTCCCATGTAATAGGGGGTGAGCCTATTGCCATGTACCGGACACAATTCCATACTCCTTGCTAATAGTGAGATTTTTTTTTTAAATCTTGTTATACTTTATACGACCCGGGCATCGAACCCTAAACCCTTTGCTCGGCAGCCGTACTTGTGACTATTCGGCCAACGAGGCAGTCGGTAACGACGAATAGTTTAATTAATAATTTAACTCATACATAACTTCCGTCTATCTGCCATGAGGCAGAGAGTATGAAACGCCAATTCTTCATTTAAATTTTGAAATAATATTTGCTTCTTGAAACCATGATGGAATGAATATCATGATTTGCCTTTAAAACTTGTAGGTAGATTTTTGCGTAGACGTATCGGTACCTATATTTGTCTAAATTCTATCTAAAAGTTATTTTTTATTTTAGCTACAACGACCCGCTGGTGATGTTGGCACATTACTTCTATCCAAAGGGAAAGAGACCGAACAGTCAGATGGGACTACTGCTTGCGGTAAGTACAATTTACATATTCTTAACTTCTTAATCCCCGATTATGAAAAATATTTATTTATTTATTTATTGCAAAATGTATATACATAGCGGTATTATACTACTAGTACAGTATATCACCCTGTTAGGGCGCAGCAATGTAACTTATAAATAATAACTAAATAATCATCTAATATATTATGTACTTATTCTATTCATTATTAACTTAATTACTCACTATAAACTTATTATTATTAAAATTCTTAATTCACTCTGTCTCCTGCAGTAATTCACCGAGGGAAGTGGAAACTATGGTTTTTTTCTTCTCCTCTTATAATATCTTCTGATTCACTTCGTTGCGGGAACCAAGACAGTTATTCATGTCCCTAGGACGCGCCGGACTTCAGTGTTCCGGTGTTTTCGTGGTTGTATCTACTGTAAATCCTGGCTTACAGGAGTTGCGGCGGTTTTGGGTGGCTGTGGCGTGCTTGTCCCATTTAAAAAAAAACATTTGTTGGTACAAAAATCTCAAAACATCGCCAACCCGCATTGAGCAAGCGTGGTGATTAAGCTCAAACCTTCTCCGTGTGAGAAGAGGCCTTTGGTCAGCAGTGGGCACTTATATAGGCTGTTGATGTTGTTGCCCACATTATTTTTGTTTATTAATATCCTGAATAATTTAAAAAAAAATTGCTGTTTGAAGCGAATGCTTTGATTAACATATAATAAAGCCTTTTTATCCTCGAAGGGGCAGGCAGAAATGCACATAACAGCACTTAATGCCACTGTATAATAAAACACCCACTTTCACTATTTATGTTACGAGTTCTATGTAATAGGGGTGAGCCTATTGCCATATACCGGGCACATTTCGAGACTCCGTGCTACTATTGAGATTTTTTGTTAAAACCCAGTAATACTTTGCCTGGCCCGGGAACTCGGACAGGTACTTGCGACCACTCGGCCGACGAGGCAGTCTGCTCTGATTAACTATAATTAATAATAAATAAACAAATCATTTTATTTTATGTCTTTCTCAGAGAAACGGGACTTTAGACGAGGTATCAACAATGTACACAGGACAGAAGCAGTTGGATAGATTTGGGTACATGGACAGGATCAATGGACTGGATCACCTTCCCCACTGGAAGGATCGGCCATGCAATGATATACGGTAAGTTGAATAGTCAAAATCATTTATTTCAATTAGACGAAGAATGCACTTTTGAAATTCAACAATAATTTAAAGTGAAGATATGCACTTATTACAAATTCAAATTCAAATTCATTTAATCGTTTGCAAACATGGGCACATAATATAGGTATTAACAAAATATACAGTTTCTCCATATTTTGCCTTAACTTCGCATGCAAAGATATGTTATAAAAAAATTAGGTACATTAAGTTTAATTAATTGTAATGTTGTTAAATTGAATGTCAAATAAATTAAAATTATTAATACCATTGAAGTCAAAAATGTAATGTCAAATCAATACATAGTATAAAACAAAGTCGCTTTCGCTGTATGTCCGTATGTATGCTTAGATCTTTAAAACTACGCAACGGATTTTGATGCGGTTTTTTTTA